GTTCCGAGTACTTTTGGTATAGATATTGCCCAACACTAATTATTATTGTTTTGGTAAAACGGTGTTCACATGAGGCAATTTTAGAGGCGATTGGAAGCGATTAGTTGAAAGGCCGTTCACACCAGGCGAGTGGTGCTTTCAACTTAAAGTTGTCTGTAAAATCGCCTTATGTAAACACCGAATTACGGTGTACGCTAATGGAGAATTTACATTAGGCGATCTTACAGGCAACTTTTAGTTGAATGCATCAGTTGCCAGGTAAAAACGGCATTTCAACTAACCGCTTTCAATGAAGTTGGTCAATTTCAACTTTCTTTCAGCTATTGATTCAACTAATCGCCTGCGATAGTTCAATCATGTACATTCCCTATAAAGCATACAACTCTCTCTTATTGTGCCCATATCGCCGCGATAATATCGTATCGAAAGCAAAAACCATCGTCTATATATGTAGATATGTAGTTATAATATCAAAAATCCTAATATCTAACCATTAATTTTTAAATGTTCCAGGTAATCTGTGCATTCTGGGGTAATTATAGTTAGTTCACTACCTTATATTGAACTTGCCACTTTTAATTCTGACCTCGCCGTTGAACTTATCGTGTTGCATGTCACTGGTACGGCAATTCGGTAAAGTTAGTAATTCGAGTGCTACAGTGCGGTTGCCGCATGTAGGGTGCTTTGTTAAGAAGTGATTCGTGTTGCATTTAATAATTCTGCCAGCCATTCGCTTCTTGCTGGCACTGCCGTTACCGCTACAGCTGCCTCTTTTTTGTTTTCGTTTTGGTTTAATGTTTATTTGTTTGCTGGTCGGCCGGTGTTTTTATTTTCGTTCATGCTCTTTTTTATTTTTTTTTTTTATTGCGAGCCAAGCACTTCATTTGCTTCACAAGTCATTCATGTTTCAATGACGCCATCGTCGACGTTCGCAGCGCTGAGGAGATGCCGAGACTGTTGTTGAGGTTTCCTTAATGGCTGCCATATATGTATGTTTGTACACATACATATAAACATACGTATATATGTATGTAAGTATGTAAATTTACCACCCACACAAGCGCGTGCTCTCATAGACCGTCTGGTACACATCGGTAAAAATGCACTCTACGTTCAATTTGCAAGCGCCCATTTTCCGCAGCTCGCAAACTTTTTCCCGCTGCCCCGCTTTGGGCCATTCGCCTTTCATTCATTGCACTCAACCCCGTTTTGAAGCAAACGCTATTTGTTTAGGTGCATTTTGTCATGCGGAGCGGTAAATGTGGGCTGCTGAATTGCTGACGCTATTGCTGTTCGAGCCTATTTCTCTGCTGTATGTAGTTGTTGCTGTTTCTGGTGGTGTGGTATCACTTACAACGTGCGACGTTCAGGCGTGCAACCAATATTGCCACCTTTTTATATTGCCATGTGTTTGCTTGTAATTGCATTTCATCGATGTGTGAGTTAACTCATGTGGTACATACGTACACATGTACATATGTATGCGCGGGTGTGTGGGAATATGGCTGTCCACATTTGTTTATGCCACAGCGTGCTGCATATATCTCCATGCCGCTCACGCTGCAGATTGTGAAGTAAATCAGCCGGCGCTGACGCAGGCGTTGGCTTTGTGGCAAACTCGCTGCCCCCAGTTTTCAGGCTCCGCGGCAGGCAACCGGCCTGTCTACCACACAGTTTGCCGGCGTGCTTCGCATACTTTGGTTGCATTTTTTTCGCATAGTCGTCATCGTTCATCTTCATAGTCAGCACCGTCGCGTTAAGCTGGTTGCCACCAACAAACATTGCACCGACCGCAAATATCCGCATTTGCATTCTCAATCGCAATAGCATTTGAAATCACTTTATGTGCCGCGCGCCTTCGTTTCTTCACTGTTTTTTTGCAATTTTTTGTTTTGGCGCGGTTTGACTTTGTGGTCGCCCTACATAGCCTTGTACGTACATATATGTGTGTCGTGAGATTAGCGTGAGCGCGATAGTTTGTTTGGGCAAATTCTGAATGCCGCATGCTACATAGTGTCAGCCTGCAATCAAGTTTCCATATTTTGATTTATAATCGTGCTTCAGTTGCGCGCGATTGCCAAAGGCTACTACTGATTTGTCATATTTCGCGTACGAACCTGTATTATTTCCCGCGGTGCTAGTTTTGTTTTCATTAGCAATGTGTTGCTTCATTTACGACGTTTGTTGAGCTTTCGGTGAAAAATTGCCGTGTTTTTTTTCAAGTGAATTGAGTTTTTTGTGCTTTGGTCAAAACTACTGAGCGTTAGTGCACAAAAGTGTTATTCACAAAAACAGTAAAAAAGTATGACTGGACTCTATGGTGATTGTATACCCTCAATGAAATAAAAGAAAACTAAAACATAAAATCTGTCGGCCATAATATTAAGAGATGTGTTTTTAGTATCGCGTTATAAAAAGACAAGTCCAAGGTGCCTCATATTTGGATACTGCTTTATCCGGCGTGTTATTAAATTTGTGTATACTTTGAGATGTTTACCGAAGGTTTCGGCTTAAAACTAAATACATAGGTATCTTCTGAATATAAATATGGTTGGGTTGGACGCAGAACATAGCAAAAACCATCCTCTGGGTATAAATATACTTTGAAAAGGCCTGTCCTGCAGTAGGATCATAGAAGTCGCAACGCTAGATTTCTATCGCTACGCCACCTTTATATCTATGAATAACACATGGGCCTAAAAATATGCAACGCGAAAGCTGTGGAGTTTCCATAAAATATCTTAAGGACCATGGCGATGTTATATATCCGTGGAGGCGTTGTATATTTTAAGGTACAAGCTTTATTCATTTAGAGATTTTTAGCCATAGAAATTTAGCGTGGCGAGTTCTAGAATCCCAAAATATTCACCCCGCGGAGGCAGTATATAACTAGTATAAAACTGGATCCTTAAATTTTTGGAAATTCATGCAAGCGCAAAAGACTCTTTGTGTACTGTATTTTTTTCAAATCTTCTGTGAGACTTACGTACCACATTTTACAGTATCACTACTTGCGGCCGCCGCGGTCGAGTGGTGGCCTTCATTTATCAAATAGAGGTTGCCATCCGTACTGGAAACCATAAGATATAGTTGATGATTAAGCAACAAGAAAAAATACCGAAAAATTTTATTTTTAATAGCCTAACAGGTAATTAGAATATTAGGTTTCTTCCACAAGTTAGCGAGAGGCGAAACGAGCGAACTTAATGAGGTACCCCCAAACTCGCTATCGTCCATCCTTGTTGCTCTCAGATGCAAAATTTGTCGCTAAGCGAGCGGAAATATAACTTATTAAGCAGAAAAGTGGCGAATCGAAGGCGGCTACTGTCACTGCTCATAAATTAACATAGCAGAAGTAGCAGTCATCAAAGTGATTGTTTTGTTCTCTCCATTGCATAGGCACCCCGAACCTCATACAATGTCTTTGACCAATGGCCCCCTGTCTAAAGTGTTCACAGCACAGTTTACAAACAGTTTGGGATATCATATCCATATGCATTCATCTAAAATTTCCAATTTAAGTAGGAAAAGTAAGCACTTTTTGTAGGATCTGTTATAGGTTTTCGAAACTTTTTAACCGTGTATTCACCTCAAATGTAACAAAATACATTTGGCTCATTAAGACTACTTCTACGCGATGAAGATATGACATTAAAATTATTTTATTTATAGAAACGTACCGATAAGACTAAAAAGTGTTCACACGAAATTACTGATTTCAAATAATATACAAAAATGACGTTTGTCAAAACTACAATTTTTATGCTGACGCAAATAACTTCGATAGTTTATTATTAAACGAAGTAAATATTTAATTAATATAAGCTCGTAAAGTATAACTGACCGACCAATGAGTGTTATGCTAAGCAAAAGGAAAATATATTTTTCGTAAACGCTATGAAAATCAAGAGCAAACTTCTTACCAAAAGTCTTCATAGAAAAGATAAACAAACGAATCAATTTGCATTCATCAAGAGACATTATCGCACAATTTAAAGATTGAGCTATTTTCTTGCCGTTGGCAGATGTGAAGGCTGATTGAAGTGAACATTATTCACCATTAGTGTGCTGCCACCGACAATAGCTGTGAATTTTCACACCATTCTGCAACACCATTTTTCGCACGTGTTTTCCTGTGGCACAGTTTTCATCATTTTCTCGGTTCCGTTTCCGCACTGTTGAAGCAACCTAAGACTTTAAGGTTGCAAGTTGTTTGTGTGTTAGTGTTTTGAATAAGGCCACGGGCGTTTTTTGTGGTCCTCGTGTTTGTGCGCCCGTCACCCAGATTGCCCCTAGGCGTGCAACTCAATTGTAAATCAAATGTGCTAATCACCGTTTGGCTGACATTTCGCGCCTCTTTTCTCGTTGATTACGCCAGCTGCATCTATACTCGGATTTTCGCGTGCGTTGTCCATCCAAAACGCTGACATGTGTAAGAGCGTGCATGTGCTGTTACTCCTTCCCCTCCTTGCCATTGCTATTAAGTTATGCCCCTTTTTCGTGTTGCTGCCATAGTGTACATGGATTAGTTGTAAGCACAAACAACGAAACAATAACAACAACTCTGGCTGCTCAGCGGCAAATGGAACAATAATAATAGTAAAAGCAACACAGAGGACCCACCTTGGAAAACCGCTTTACGCTAATTTATGACTTAGTCATTACTGATGTTGTTTATGCGAGTGTTACTCGACATTGTTGTACATGTGTAGTTTGTGTTGTTTCATGTTGTAACAGCAAAGTGTTGCATCATTCCGGTAAATTAAATTACAAATACATACCACACATTTGTGTTGTTGGCCGGGGCAAATTGCTACAGCAGGAGTGTATTTATGTATTAACACTGCCAACCAGATTTTATTATTTGGTTTGAGTCTATGTTATTTTAGGTAAGTAATCTTTAAATTCAGTTATTCATATGTATATATGCACATAATTAGGTACATATTTCATGTTTGACATATGTACATATGTAAGTAACTATGTGTATATGAATGTAATAAAGATAACTTGGAGAAACAGAAATTGAAAGCTTCTCGATAGGCACAGGAGACACGAGCAGTAAAAAGGCACCAACGTTACGAGGTTTTTATAAGCTTTGACACATACACATATGCATATGTATAATGCCACCGGGCTTTGTTAATTTTTTTTTAGGAAATAAAGTCCGCGGGCGTTTTTTCCGCGGGCCTTTTTTCACTGCAGCGCTACACACCTGCTTAAATATTGTTACGATTAAATAATTTTTACTTGGGCATTGTCACGTTTTCTTATACCCAGTGCATTTGTTTAAGTTTCAGGAGTTCCCATGGAAACAGTAAAAGTCTATTTTTAAAGGTTGTCCAAACCAAAGGTCTAATATTTGAAACGCATGGCGGGGTAAATGCCAGACGTCCCGGTTTTCCTGGAAATGTCCCGATTTTAAGCTATTTGTCCCGGTGTCCCGGTCCAACCTAAAAATGTCCCGGGTCTCGTTTAAGTCTCCAGATTTTAATTGCAGAAATTTTAATAAAAGTTAAAAAATCTTTGCCAATGCCATTATTAAAATAGTTACATCTCCAGTGAGTTGAACTTTGCACAAGCAATATTTGAAGATCGATATACCCACAATACATACCTTTAAGAGCAAAGTGCCCTTCCTGATGCCAGTTAGCTCTTTTTTGTTTGCTCGTTTGTTGTTCGTCCGTGGTTTACTTCGAACGAAAGTTTTCGCGAAGTTTCGAAGTTTATAGAATATAGAAATGTGTGTTTATAGTGTTTTAGTTACCCCTAAAAAATGCCAAAGAGAAAGTATAAATTCGTTCCCGTTTTCACAGAAGAGTTGTCATTTGTTTATATTTTCTGACGCTATAGTACCTTAAAAGAGAGCCTCACTGAGTCATAGCTCCAATGTAGATAAATTTTGTCCCTTATTTTATCTCAATGGACTAACTGGCTGGCCAGAATGTAGTACCACAGTAGAGCGTAAACTATCGATGGTACTATCGATACTATCAAATGGTTCTATTTTTTTGAACTATCGAATGGTCGTTGGCCACTATCGATAGTCTTTATTTGAGAAAATATACATAATCGGAGTTCGAATTCCCTCCTCCCAAGTTTTCGGGGAAAATGCTACTCCTGGGAGTTAATTATTGGGGGATTTCTTTCTCTGGAGAAACAACTTTCCGGAGAACAAACTCCCGGGAATATTAAGAATTGGCCTGATTGTTTATATTATATGTACTACTGCAGTGTTTTATTTTTGAAAATGGGAATTTGGCAACATTGATTTGCTTACACATCACTATTTTTTACCTATTTCCGGGTTTTACACGGTTCAAGTATTGAATTCAATTCTGCTTGCTAGTGGAAGAGAGGGATTGAGAAGAAAAGGGAAGAGTACATATGCGTCTGTACCGTCAAGTGGTTTCAAGTTTCTATTTGCTTTTGACATTTTCGTTGTTTCCCATTGAAAGAGCAAAAACATGAAAACAAAAATAATTTAAGCGTGTAAAAGCAAATGGAAAACAGAATTACTTGAATCATGTAAATCGGATGTAATTAAATTTGAAAAAAAACGAGTTTGAATATCTTTTTGGAACCATATTATGGTGTTAGCGATTCTGCATTGATGGAATAAACTATTGATATAAGCCAGAGTTTGTAAAATTTTGAGGATCCTTGTATTTGTATTGTATTGTATTTTCCTTTGGATAAATAATCATGAAAAAGTCGGGGCACGGTTCGGCTATTTGTACAATGGTTTGGGTTTTTCTTGCAGACGCTTGAAATATGAACTTTTCCGAAAATTTTGGAGTGAGTTCTATGCAAAAGTACTGTGGCGTAGACGGACTTGGACTGATGAAAATTTTTTGTAATACATACAGTTTTCTTTACGTTTACCAGTGATTTGTTTTTCTGCGATTGGGAATTTTTGGTTTTTATGTTATCGGTTTAAAATATTTTAAAAAGCGAAGAGAAAGGACAAAGTTACTGAAAAGCGCTATATAACAATTAGCTAATTCTGAAGAAACTAAATAAAACTAAAAAGTTTATATATGTACATACCTTCATCAATGCATTTTAAAATTATCCGATAGTATCGATATTTTCAATGCAAACTATCGATAGTTTTACAGCTCTATATCACAGCCACAAGCTATTTCGCTAGCTACATCAGCTACATCATCAATAAAATACAACAACCACAGCTACATATTGTGGGCATTTTAGAGAATTTAGAATATTTTAACTTTTGACAGATATTGCTACATACCACAGCCTCACCATTCTGGTTAGCCAGTAAGGAAAGAAATTCGCTTAATATACAAATTAAAAATTACGTGTACAGAGTAGGGATGTGCGATGAATTGATTATTTAAAATTTTATTTAATCATAAAGTAAATAACTTAATTATTCGATTAATTGGAAATTATTATGATAAATTAAAAGTTTAGTTACTCGAGCAATCAAAATTTCGATTAACTAAAAAGAAAAATATTTGAGTAATTTGCTTTATGATTAATTAACATTATGAGTAAAATGAGTAACCAACATTTCAAAGTACTCCTTACCATATAACAGTTGAAGTTCCTTGATACTTTGAAAACAACGTTTCCAAGAAACTTTTGAAACGAAATTTCCAAGAAACGATAGCAAACGAGAAAGATTGCCGTGACCCACAGTTTTAAAACCACTGATCTGATTTTCGTAGAAAATGTACGGTTTCGTCGAAGTTATAACTGTTGCACTGGTTGGTCGAGCCAATAAAATAATCATTAAAAATATCAGGGTTTATTTTGAATGTCGCGTTGCTTTTTCCATGTATACCTAAGCTTTTCAAGTTTCGCCATAATTCCTTAGATGATAGTGAAGGACGCAGTTTATGGTTGTAATACCACCTTTTTGCCTGCCCGATAACGGTGGCTGCTTCATTGCGAGTCGTCTTATACATGCTCCATTCGAAATCAGCGTTCGACCTTCTCCATTTGGCATGCATTTTGTTGCGCCACTTTATCGCGAAACTCACTTTTTTTGTATAACACGGACAAGATTTATTACTAAAGTTAGCAGTGCGTATAGGGGCATGCCTTCCGAATAAGGCAGTTAAATTATCGTTAAGGTAGTCGAGTTTCTTATCAACTGTCTCTAGATACCAGCAATCATTCCAGCATATGCAAGAGCAATCCAAAAACAATGCACTACTTAGTGTCTAGAGAACGAAAGTCACGATACGTGAAAGCAGTACCAGCTGCTGCACAATTTAACACCACATCAACAGTGCAAAAGATATAAAAGAAATTTTGTCATACTTAAGTATATGGGACAAGTCAGAAGTAATAAAATGGTCTAAAAGACTGGAACTACAGTTGCTGGCATATCTGGTAGGCATAGTGTCGTTAACCACAACTAGTCCAGCTGCTGAGATGCGATCGCGCAGCTTAATGCTACTAGAGTCATTTACGGGCAAATAAGCATTAAAATTACCACTAATAACATATCACTCATACCCAGTAAAAAATACAGACAACTCGGAAGAGAAACAGTCCAACGGATATCATTTATATGTATTATATACACACGAAATTAAAATTTTGGTTGAACGATCGGAATTTCCTTCCGCGCAAGAAATTTTGTTAACAGTCATGTTAAATTTGTAAATATTTTGCACTGAACCGAAAAAGAAAAAGCCGTAAAACAACAAATAAGTACAACAAATAATCACGGCAGGAATATGTTAGACATGAGAAAAGCATAGCATGGAGATATTGGCTAAAAATGTTTTCAACCCTATTGAGTTAGAAGTATATCAGTGCCAGTACGGCGAATAATTTTGTCACCTGCTATAGTTTGAAGTTCAGGAATGGTCCGAAATTATTTTTGTGCAGAAAACTTCCACTCAAACCGTTTTGTTCTTTACTGAAGGTGCAATGACTTTTATTGGACCTATGTGTTTCGTAGGTTTATTTGTTGGTATGAATATGCCCCGCTTGATGTTGGTAGACATTTTCTCACTTTATTTTTCATTTACAACTAAGTCAATTAAAAATCTTTGTTCGTAGACGCACTTTGTCCTATGTCGACGAAACCAAAAGAGGAGGATATACATATGTATTAGCCAAGCTTTCTAAAAAGCTAAAACTTATAGGGATCTATGCTTTATTTTTAATTTTCGTTCCATATTGGGTCCCTAAATTTGTATGTACATATGTATGTAGATCAGTGAAAGTCGAAATTTTTTATTGATGCTAAAATTACTGCAATGCTATAGAAATTTAGCGATTTCCCATTGTATGCAATCGTATGGCTTCGCTTCCAGGCTCGACTCGCTTGTGAATGCTGATATCCCAACCGCAGTGGCGCACTGACATTCGCATTGTAGCCGGTTCGGTTTCGCCAACAACTGAGTGGGACAAATGTGCAATGAAATGCAATGTCGTTGTTCATAGCCTGCGCCATGTGATTCTTCATATTCGTTATTGTTGGGCTCATTATTTTTTCCGTCATCATTATGTTGAATGAGCGTCAACCTTGGCAGTGAGCATTGCACCGTCGCCACTACTAGTGTCATTGAACAGCGCGTTTGAAGTACATTAGGGCGGGTCCATTCGCCTGGGAGATTTTTTCGACTATGCGCGTATAGGACTGAAGGACTCAACGGGCGGTTCAAATTTGCGAAGAAACTATGGGACTAAAATCAATTTGGAGTTTGCCAAATTCCGAAAATAGGTTTCTTAGCATTTTGTGGTGGTATCGAAGTGTTTAAATTTTTTATAAATATGTACATGCTATAACGCGTTATTGGAGTCAGTTAAGGCGTGTCGCAAAGGGGTCAACATATGGCCGTTGGACTCAAAAAATTAAAAATATTTTTTTTTTTTTCATTTCATTCCAAAAATCGATACT